CTTCACTGGACTGTCTTTGATTGCTAGGTATGGGGGGGGGGGAACACGCAGATCTGTCCTCGCAGAGGAGGGAGAGCTTGTACCTGAATAAAACTTGGTCTTAAAGGTGCCACTGGACTGTGGGGGGCCGGGAGGGGCTCTGCAGCTTACCTGGCTGCTTCTTGCTCTGACTGAGGGCTGCTGGGAGCAGGGGGTGGGGCTTGTTGCATGTGCCCACCCCCTGGGCTCTTTACTGCTGGAGCTCCGCTCCTGTGTGCTCCTGCAGGAAATGACCCCTGACTATATATGTATGTATGTATGTATAGATATATATAGGTATAGGTATATAGATATATATTGGGATGCAGACTGGTATGGTATAGTGAGATCTTGGAAGCTAAGCAGGGTCAGTACTTGGAAGGGAGACCACCAAGGAAGACTCTACAGAGGAAAGCCATGGCAAGCCACCTCTGCTTCTCACTTGCCTCAAAAGGCCCTTGCCGAGGTCCTCATAAGTCAGTTGTGACTTGAAGGCACATATACACATAAACATACATATTGGATCCCAGTGTTTTAATGAAATAAATACAGCAAGGGGGCATAGAACATTCAGCCAAGTTTAACAGCACAGCAGCATCAATTCCCAGCGTGAGAACAAAAGTTTGTGCTTATTCTCATCTGTCAAATGCTGGAGAGTATGGAAAAAAACACTTACACTTGTCAAGACTTCTCTGTCATCTGGCTCGTTCAGAATGAAGGTACAACTGGCAAACTTGTCTTCCTTCATTTTGACTAGCTAGTAAAGGTAAAGGTTCCCTTGCTCGAAAGCCAGTCGAGTCCGACTCTAGGGTTGCGGTGCTCATCTCCGTTTCAAAGCCGAAGAGCCAGCGCTTTCCGAAGACATTTCCGTGGTCATGTGGCCGGCATGACTAAACACCAAGGCGCACAGAACGCTGTTACCTTCCCACTGAAGTGGTACCTATTTATCTACTTGCAATGTCTTGCTTTCAAACCGCTAGGTTGGCAGGAGCTGGAACTAGAGCCGGGAGCTCACTCTGTCATCATGCGGCACCCGGGTCTCGAACTGC